CTTCCTTCTTCCCTTCCTTCCTCTCTTCTTTCTTCCCTCCTCTCCTTTCCTTCCAGTTTCCCTTTTCACCTCTCCTTCCTTCTTCCCTTCCTTCCTTTCTTCCCTCCTCTTTCTTCCCTCCTCTCCTTCTTTCCTTCCAGTCTCCCTTTTCTCCTCTCCTTCCTTCCTGTTCTTTCTTCCCTCCTCCCTCTTTCTTGCCTCCTGTCCTTCTTTCCTTCCAGTCTCCCTTTTCTCCTCTCCTCTCCTTCCTTCTTCCATTCCTTCCTCTTTTTCTTCCCTCCTCTCTCTTCTTCCCTCCTGTCCTTCTTTCCTTGCAGTCTCCCTTTTCTCCTCTCCTTCCTTCTTTCTTCCCTCCTCTCCTTCTTTCCTTCCAGTCTCCCTTTTCTCCTCTCCTTCCTCCCTCCCTTCCTTCCTCCCCTTCTTCCCCCTCCTTTGTCTTCTTCCTCCCTTTAATGCTTGGTTCTTTCACTCAGGTGGCACGTTTACGTTGAATGAATGGAGTTGAGCACCTGAAGATGCCCAGACAGAAGTGATGAAGGCTTGCCCTCTCCCCCCTCAGTATGGGCCACAGTATGGCCAACCATTTCAGTCATTTCAACACTTTCAGTTGACTGCCTCCTGGGGAAAGTTCAAAGCCCTGAACTTAAGCCCTCTTAACCTTACATGACTCATATGGCATTCCCCTCCTCTGCACATGCTCCTGGGCAGCCAACCAGGACTTCCTACCCTGAACCCACACTGTGCTCTCCAGACTCCAGGCCTTTGCTTAGGCTGTTCCCAATGCCTGGGATGCCCTCCCTGTCCCCTCTCCACCTGAATAATTCTTTCCAGTCCATTTCCCTCCCTGTCAGTCCCTCACTGCTACACTTATGGCTGCCTGTGCTCTGGGCTTAGATGCCCCTCGTGGACTGTAGGCGCTGAAGGGCAGAGTCCTGGTCTTACATAACTTGGTATCTGGCCTAGTTCTTATCACAGAACGGTGCCCCTGTACACTTGGTAAATGCTTGGTGAAAGAATGAATGAATGAATTATGTGCGTGTGCTCCCAGGCTCTCCAGGATGGGGGACACAGTAAGGAAACTCAGGCCTGGAGAGGGAGAACAGCTCGGCCATGGTCACATTGGAAGCTTAGCGGCCGAACCAGGATTTGACTGGGGCCAGCTGGGGTCCCACAGTGCCCTCTGCCTCCCCACACACACTCTTAGAGGAGAACAGGCCTTCCAACAGGTCACAAAGGAGCCTTAGGGGAGGGGAAAGATGTGAGAGAATGGGGGAGAGAGATCCCCTCACCCAGCTGGTCCCGAAGAAGTTTCAGCTCCCCTCGAACGGTCTCATACTCCTCCCACAGCAGGTGGCGACTGGAAGGGTCAGAGGGTCAGTGAGGCAGGATGCCAAGGCACCTATGTGCAGCTGATCATGGAAGAAGGGAGGAGACCACCCGGCCAATCCCACTCCTCCCTGCAGAGGACAGAGAGCAAGTAGCATCCAAGTCTATGCCGGAAAGACTGTCTACCATCACACTGCTTGTGAGAGGTCTGGGGCCAGAATCAGTCAAGGGCCATGGGTGGGAGGGTCCCAGGAGGTAAATACTCACTCATTCTGCAGCTCCTGGCGCAAGAGGGCAGTCACACTAGCTTCCCCGGGACCGGGACGGGCCTGCACTTGCCGACGCAGGTTCTGCAGCTCTGAGTTCAGGTCTTCCACTTGTTGCTCCAAACTTGCTCGCCCATCAGGAGCCCCTCTCAGTCGGCCCAGCTCCTCTGGGCAGCAAGGGGGGTGTCATCCCTGCCCTCCAACCCCTGCTCCCCTCTCCCATGGTGGAGGGACCATCCTAGAGGGCACCATCACAGACTTCAGGGAGGGATGCCTACTGTGGGGGCCCTGCCTCCTAGGGTTACCTTCCAGATCATCAATCTGACATCTCTGACGCTCCCTGTCTTCCATCAGGCCCTGTACGGCCTGACTCATCAGCACTGTCACCTGGATCAGGTCAGGAAGAAATGGGTGTCCCTGGGCCCCAGAGGAGCAAGAGGGCCCCTAGCCCCACCCCACACAGACACATTCCCCACTGCACCTGAGCCTGGGTCCGGAGCTGGCTCCGAAGAGTGGTAATTTCATCCCACATCGACAAGGTGAAGCAGGCGTCATCCCAGCCCTGCCCCTCAGTGGGGGGCTCCAGGGTCCAGACCTGATGAGGCAGCTCCCCTTCGGGATTAGAACGGGGCATCCTGGACCCAGAAGGAGCCAGGCTGGCTGCAGAAGGCAAGAGACGAAACCAAGACTGGAGCAAATGAACCAGGTCCTTTCCCAGCAGAACGACGGGGCCCGGAACCTTGGGAGCAGAGGTGGCCAGATTCCCTTCGGGTGGAGGATAGGAAATGACCACCAGTGGAAGAGCCAGAGGGAAGCGTATGGGCTGGCATGTAAAGGGAGGGAGGGTAACACACTTACAATTGCCCGGTGAGGAGACGCCAAGGGGGCAGAGACGCTGCTGCTGGGCAGGAAGAGAAAAGCAAGAAGGGAACCATCAGTACTGTCAGATCCTGCTCCCAGGGCAAGACCTGGATTCTCCTGAGCTCCTGCCACCGTCCCCTAGCTTAAAAAGTACCAGAGCTGCAGCGATACAGTGATACAAGACAACCCTGGAGCACTTATGATGAAAAACACCATCCATCCCCAGAGAAAGAACTGATGGTTCTGAATACACATTGACGCATACTTTGTTACTTTATTTTTCTTGAGTTTATTTTTGTCTGTTTTCTTTCACATGACTATTATGGAAATGTTTTGTACGACTACACATGCGTGACCTTTATTGAATTGCTTGCCTTCTCAATGGTGGGTGGAAGAAAGGGAGAGAATTCGAAACTTAAAATTTTAAAAACAGTGTTAAAAATTGTTTTTACATGTAAGTGGGGAAAAATAAAATACTAAATAAAGAGGAAATCCTATTCTTAAAAAAAAAGAGTTATGTAATGTTAAAAAAAAAAGAAAAGAAAAGAAAGAAGGTACTAGAGCTGGCAAGGGCTTCCCAGGCTATCTGGTTCAACTCATTTTATAGGTAAGCAAAAGGAGGACCGAAAAAGGCAAGAGCATGGACCAAGAACATGCAAACTGAAGACTTGGGAGGTTGGGATCCCAAATCTAACACCCGTGACCGCTTTCTGAGTCTCCCAGGAAAAGGGAATTGCAGATCCTCACCAACGAGGCCAGAGACCTGCTCTCAGAGGATCTTTGGGATAGCAAGGCAGCGACCCTCACCACTACCCCACTTGCACACTGCTGTGGGGAGGGTCAGGTTTGGAGTTCCCCAGAGGGGACGCGAGGAGGGGTCAACGCCAGCTCAGGGACATGGCCAGGCTCCAGCCCACCCTGGGGCTGTGGTCAGCCTTCCAGAAGTAGCAGAAGGCTTGGAGGGTGAGGACCTAGCAGAGCTTTGGTCCTAGGAGGCGGGGCTGAGGTTAGGGCTCGGGGGGGGGGGGGGGGGGGTTGGCGCCCGTTTTAGCCGGGGGGTGTGGCCAGGCTCCCGGATGGGGCGGGCCTGCGGGATGGGCGTGGCCGTGGGCTAGGGACTCTCGCGGAAGCAGCCGGCGCTGCCGCCCGACCCAGGGCTGCCCACCTTGATCCGGGCCACATTGCCGTCGGTGACCTGCAGCAGTGAGTCGAGCTTCTCAGCCCAGTTGGAGCCCTCGGACACCGGGGACAGTATCGGGCGCGGCGGCTCCAGGGCGGAGGGTGGTTGACCGCAGCCGGGGCCCGAGGGCTCCAGCCGGGGAGCGGCGCTGGGCGGGGGCGCCGGGCCTGGCCCCAGCAGCGAGTAGGCTGCGCAGGGCTCTTCGAAGGTCAGGCCGGGCCTGCCTCGGAACCAGGCGGAGACTCTCCGGGTAGGAGGCGGAGCCGGCGGCGGGGGCGCGGCCCGGGGCTGCCGCGGAAGCCAGGGCTCGGCTCGCACGGGACTCAGCTTGGGCTCCAGAGTGCGGAACCCGCCGCCTGCGCCGTCTCCGCCACTGCCCGGCCCCCAGCCACCGGAGTCATGGCCCCTGATTTGCCCCCGCCGACGCTACCCGATTCAAACCTAGCGCGCCGACGCCGCCGCGGGACCTCCTGGAACACCGAGTCCGCCTCCCGAGGCCACAACGGGCTCGGCACGGCTTTCGAACTACGACTCCCAGCAGGCTGTGCGCGCGCCCCACTTGCCAATCGCGTAACCTGCCAGGATGCCCACGCCGCTGAGCTGCGAAGCCGTTGGCCCAGCGCGTCTGCGCAACGAACTACATATCCCAACAGAGAGCGCGCCCGCCGCGGCGCCCCGTGGGATCTGTGGACAGAAGTGCGCGGGCAGCTGGGAACCCAACGCCTACACCATGGAGCCGAGGGCGGCTGAGCTGGAGCGCCGGATCCGGGCCACGCTGGAACCCTTCGGCTTCGAGGTGCACCCCTTCCAGGTGAGCATGCGCGGCCCCGCACGTGACGCGCGTGGAAACGGATTTGGCGTGCACAAAGGAAAGGTTGTGGGATGCACCGGTTGTCCTGGAGGGCTCCCTACAGTGCGTTCTGGTCCCCTTGGGCTCCAGACTGGCCCGACTTGGGTCTGGCCAAAGCTCGTTTGACCTTTAGACAGCCGCAGGACGGTGGGGTGGGGAGGGAGGAGGGGGATGGGGGGGCGAGACACTTACTGACCCTGGGTCCCCCAGGTGTGGGGCCCATCACTAGGGCAGACTGTAACAATGAATCCCCCCAAAATCTGGTGCTGCCACTGGACCTGACCTTGATCCTGAGCCCACCCCAGCCACGTGTCCAGCAGGGCCTTGACCTTGACACTGAGCCAGGAGACCAGCCAGGTGGGCAGAGGTCGGAGGGAGAGTTCTCATGCACAGATGGCAGGATCTAAGGAACATTTGCAGGGAGTCGTTTTTCTAGGCCACGTGCGCACAGCAGCACGAGACAGACAGCTGTGGTGACTAGAGTCAGGGATTAGTCAGGAGAACACCATGCAGAGCCCAGGGGCACCAGGACTGACCTGAGTGGGATCTGCCTGGCACCATCCAGCAGGGACCAGACCGACACTGTAGGGAGCAGCTGGATTTTATGGCTCAAAACCAGCGCCAGGTTGCAGATTCAACGCAGATTGGTAGGGAGTGGGCTTGCACCCAGGGGTGGCAGAGCAAGGCATCACTGGCCCGAAGCAGGAACAGAAGCAAGCAGCAGCTGTTTGCATCTGACCTTAAAGCCAATTCTCAGATTCAACTCCCATCCTGGTCTGAAGCCTACACCTGAATAATCAGCACAGGAAGCTCAGACCCTGTAGTTTGTGCTGAACCTGCAGAACCTTCCAGCTAGCTAACAGACTTGGAGCCACCTCCTGGAGCTCCAGCCAGGGGCAGTCCTTCACTTGTGTTGCTCAGACCCAAACTGCTGTCATGAGCTTGTAAACCTCAAATCATGGGGCAGTGATCAAACTTCACCCCATATCAAGCAGCATTGTTGCACTGAGAGCTTAGGTGTCCAGCCTGATCTTCTGAGATCTTTGAACAACACAGCTCTGAATACCCAAAGAAAGCAAGTGCAGAACCCAAGAGAGTGTGAAACAGGACCCAACATGGCCCAAACAGTCCCTCCAAAAGTGCGTAGAATCTAGCCCTCACACAAACTGCCAAATAGAGAAGTATGGCTGGAAATATTAGCAAAGAAAAAAGACTCCCACCACAAAGACCGACTATGGTAATAGGAATGCTAAAGACACTTAACTCAGAAAAATAAAATGATTCCAAAACACTTGCAGGCAAAGCATCAAAAACCTTAGAATTCCTGGAAGAAATAAAGGAAGCCATTTTGAAAAGTTAAAAATTATTGTATAGTTGAAAAGAGAGTACTAGAGGAAACAATTGGAAAAGAAATGAGAACTGTGGGAAAAGACTTGGAAGGAGAATTAACTGCTTAGCACAAGAGATCTAAAACCTTACCCAAGCAACAGACTCCCTGAAACTTAAAGTGGGCCAAACAAATGACTTCATGAGACAGTAAGAAATATTTTTTTCCAAAAGTCAAAAGACAGAAAAAAAAATAGAAGAAAATTTAAGTACTTCATATTAAACAAATCAAGAAGAGATTAGGCTCTCTGAAAGCCACAGCCAAAACCAGAGCTTGGACAAGAAATCATAAAAGAGGGGCAGCACAGTAGATAGAGCACTGGCCCTGGAATCAGGAGGATCTGAGCTCAAATCCAGTCTCAGACACTTGATACTTACTGTGTGACCCTAGGCAAGTCACTAAATCCCAATTGCCTCACAAAAAAAAGGAAGAAAGAAAAACGAAAGCAGCCCAGAATGGGAGGGCAAAAAATATAAATAGCATTCACTGGTCATGCCTGGAAAAACCCAAATGAAATTCCCAGGGATATAGCCAAAATCCAGAGCTTTTGACCGCAATTAGAAGCCATGGTACCTGGTGCTGACTTTGACTACCATTGGCATTGATTTCCTTAGCTGTAGTGCTGGGAAAGTACCTCCTTCTCTGAGCCTGACTTTGCTCATAAAGTGTCTGTGCCCTGTTCACACCTCCAGGCAGGACTGGCCCTTGCATTTTTAACCTGACACTGACTCTGCTGCTTCCGGCCAGCTCCCCTGCTGAGGGCAAACAGCCAGTGCTGGGCTGAGACCTGAGGGTGTGTTACAGCCCTGCCCTATAAAAGGGAGTGCTGCAAGACAGAGGAGGCTCTAAGAGGGGAGGGAACTGGCCCAGGGCCACTCAGCTCAGGTCTGTGGGCAGCTGTGACTCCTCCCTCCCTCTGGCCAGTGCCAAATAAATTCGCTAGTGCTGCTTGACCTCACAGAGAGGATCACTTGAGCCTCTGGGTGGCTTGTAAAGGCTTCTGTTGGTGGCCAAGGCTGGGTAGAAGGGCTATGCGGACGCAGTAGCGGTGGATGCAGTATCTGTTTTGAGCATACCCTGCCTATCTCTGCCCAGGTGGGATGGTACAATGCACTGCTGCCCCCAGCCTTCCAGCTGCCCCTGCCTGGGCCTACACTTGCTTTCGTGGTCCTCAGTACTCCCGCCATGTTTGACCAAGCCCTCAAGCCCTTCCTGCAGAGTGCCCACCTGCAGCCTCTGAAGGACCCTGTGGACCAGTGTGTAGCCTACCACTTCACCAACCTTCAGGAGGTAAGACCAAACCCCCTGCTCCTCTTCTACCTCTTCCTGTGGGGTTCCAAGGAAATGTCTTCCCCAATCTGGACCCTGAGCCAGGTGGTCTCTAAGGCCCCTTCCAGATGTCAGGGCCCCCTGTCCCTAATATGGTTTGAACCACCTCCAGCCTGGCCTTCCTGCATCCATCCTCTCCGTCTTCAAACCTGGGCCTGCTTATTCCATAGCCATAGCCCTGGAAGACTCTAAGAGCCCCGGAGTTCCAACCTTTGGCTCCCCTACTGAGCCACAGACTATCCCATGCCCCTGCCCCCATTGCCAGTCTCTTCCAGGACAAAAATCAGACCATGAGCAGCACCCATCTGCCCGCTAAGCCCTTCACCTCAGACCAGGGGGTCCTCCCAGGCAGATAGGAAGGAGATCATTGCTCATGCTGAGATGACCCTATCTCTGTCCCCGTCTCAGAGCCTTCCAGAGCAGAAGGTGGACATCATCACTGACTATGACATGCACCCAAACCGGCGCCCCAAAATCTTGGCCCAGACAGCTGCACACGTGGCAGGGGCTGCCTACTACTACCAGCGGCAAGATGTGGAGTCTGACCCCTGGGGAGACAAGGTTAGTGAGGTGGGGAGCAAGGACTGACTCCCACGAGTCACCCCAGGTGGAACAGGGAGGGTGGAAGGGAAAGCCCAGGGATTGGAGGTTAGGGAAGGGTGGGTATCTATTACAATCGCTGCTGCAAAGTTCCCCAGCCAGCCCTGCTGGGATGAGAAGCTAGCCTTCAACTCAAGAATCCTGGCTGCATTGTGTCAAGTTCCCTCTGGCCCAAGTCTCTGTTCCTGCCTGCCTCTACCTCCCTAATCCTACCTTCTCTGTTCTGGTTTCTCCTCATTGCACCCCTCCCCAGCCTGTCTGACGCTTTGAATGAAGTGAGGCTCAGCATGGGGAAGGGATAGCCCTGGTCACATCTCGCTCGAGATACTGGGGTTCCGTTCCCCAAGCCACACCTTAGGCAGAGAAAACGTCAGTGAACTGAAATGAGGTGGTGAGGGGCCTGAATACCAGAAATAGCCAAGTGGTACCATGGAAGAGTTCTGGGCTGGCAGAGGCAGTGAGGGGGCCTGGGTTCCAGGAGCCCATGGGGTGGCCTGTTCCTGGGCATGAATGCATTGGAAGTAAATTGGATCTCATTTCTGAGGATTATGGGATTTGAGGCCCTGGAGGTCATCTCCAAGCTTTCATTTTACAGAATAAATAACAGAAGCTCCCAGCTTGGCCATGGGAGGGACTTCCTGATGTCCCTAGGGAGTGGGGTCAAGGGTGAGGAGCAGCTTTGGTCCTGTGACTCAGTCTCTAGACATCTTCCCTGCTTCTCTTACAGAAGATTGCTGGCGTGTGCATCCACCCTCGATACGGGGGCTGGTTTGCCATCCGGGGGGTGGTGCTGCTCCCAGGGCTGGAGGTGCCCAACTTGCCCCGCCTGTCGCCTCTTGACTGTGTGCCCTCCCGGGAAGGCCGCATTGCTCTGCTGGAGAACTTCAACTTCCACTGGAGGGACTGGGCGTACAGGGATGCTGTGGTTCCTGTGGAGCGCTACTCAGAAGAACAGAAGGCCTACTTCTCAACACCGCCTGCCCAGCGCCTGTGCCTGCTGGAGCTACTCAAGGACAGGCCCCCAGGCCCCCTCCTCCCCAGAGAGACACTGGACTCTAGTTGGGGAGGGGGTCGGGCTGCTCCCAGAAGGGTCTTTGCTACTGTACCACAGGGGACCTAGTCCTGTTCCTTGTCCAGACCTAGCTGCTTTCTACTTATTTATGACAAAGGCCTGGCTATGGTTTGGAGGACAAGGGCCAAACAAAGAAGGGACGGACACAGCCACTGGGCTAGGGCAGTGAGCTCCTGAGACCTGAAGCCATTTTACTACTGGTCCTCAGTTTCCTCATGTGTGAAATGGTGGTCACAAACCTGACCTTCTTTTCTTTCCCTCCAAGAGGGGCTGAAGTGCTATAGAAATGGGGGCCGTGCTTGTCAGACCATTCTAATCTCATTCTCCCTCCCCCCCAATTGTGCACTCTAGCTGCTATTTTAGGGAAGGTTCTGGGTGGTCAGTGGGTACTGCTGTCAGGTGTCAGAGCAGTAGCTGGTATATAATGGAAGAGCCTCTGACAGACTCCTCAGTCTCCTTAACTGGGTCATCAGCTATCCTGTTTCAATGGGATGACTCCCAGATCTTCCTTTTTCATGGGCATGTCAGTTAATCGGGTCATCACTGCCACCCCTTCCCTCAAGTAGGCTAATTCTCTTTGAGGGTGGGTTTGATTGATTTCCTAGACATCTTATCCATCGGCCAGAATTTGTCTAGTAATGGGCTCTGCTGAGTCCTTGCTATGTGTGCAATTGCTCTTTGACAAGGATCTTGCCTGGAGGGCAGCTGTCTTTTGTGAGTCTGGGAGAGGACTAGCCCTCCTCCCTGGGCAGAGCCCCCCCCCACCCCGGCTGTGACCTTGACCTTCCTGGCATTTGTCCCAAGGAAGAGCTGCACTTAATTGTTTCACCTGGAGCGTGAACCATTTCTGAATGGAGCTGCTAATAGGTTAATTGTGAGCCTGGACATATAAAGTGCTTTGCAAGTCTTCAAGGCCTTACCAGTGTTGGTGGTTACTACAGAGGGAAGGTGCTACCCTCCCCAGATTTGGGACTGGGGTGGTAATGAGCAAGGATCTGAGCGTCTTCAGCTCTGCCCAGACAGGAAGAAGGGCTGTGGGGTACCACCATCAGCCCACTCCCCCTTCATGCCCTCAACTCGTGGGAGTCGACATGATTGGGAAAGAAATGCCAATGTAGATGGAGTTCCTGTGTGCCGCTGCCTTCCCTTCCTCCCCTGGGTATAAGCTCCCTGGCAGCTCTCCACTACCCAGATGTTCCCCAGCTGTCCCATCAGCAGTCCACACGTTACCTCAATGCAGGATTCTCACATTTCTCCAGCTCAAACCTCTCTGCTGGCTTCTCTAGCCACCTACTGAGTATCCACAAGTGGATCAAGTGAGACTATTTAGTATTCAAAGCCTTTCAGAAACCTGGGCCTCTCCCTCCTCAGCCCCTGTGAAATATTTGGTCTTCTCCCTCTAACTCCCTTGCCCCCACCCCCCAAATCTGCACCCCAGTGGTGCTGGCCTGCCTTGAGGTTCCCAAAGCACTTTTACTGGCTGTCCACCCTACCTGGAATTCATCTCACCTGCGACCTCCCTCACACTAGCTAGTGCCCAGCCTATTATCTCCTGTATGTACCCGCACGTATCTTTTCCCTACAGGCTGGGCCTGTCCTCCCCTGCCACCCTCCCTCCTCAGCCCAGCCTCACAGCAGCCAATGCCTGTGGCTCCATCTAGCCTGGGGGCTGTGGTCCTTCTGGTCTCCTTCCCTCCCTGAAATGCAAAGAGGGTGGGTACTCGCATGGGTTGCCCCCAACTCCAGGTGCTTCAGATACACCCAGCAAGGTCAAGTCACATCTGCATAAACTGAAGTCTCACACAGCAGGTTTTTTTCTTAGGACAAGTTTAATAGAGCTACAAAACATGAGATGGGCTCAAGCCCAAAGGAGTGACTATGGTACAAACAATGTTAACACAGCACTTGGTCATCAGGAGTGAGAGAGACCTGGCAGGCTCAGCCAGCTGGCTGCTGCTCCGAAGGAGTGGGGAATGATCTGAATGAATCAGGCCCCATGAGGAGAGGGGACGTGCCCAGGCTAGCCCACACTGTTTGGGCTCCCTCTACAGTTGGAAGGTTGGGGAAGATCAAGCACATTTGTCCTGCAGACAGTAGCTAGTGAGTCTGGGGGGGGGGGGGGGGGGTGTAAATGTCCGAGGCTGCAGAGAGCAGCTCAGTTCTGCTTGGAGAAGTATTCCTTACTCCCCTGCACGTCAGGCTTGATGGTGTCACTCCCCGGTTTCCAGCCAGCAGGGCACACTGAAAGACAAAAGAGTGACCGGTCAGTCTTGCTGACCTTCCTGCTTTCCAAAGCCAGGGAGAATTCACTGCTCACTCCCTGAGGGAGCTGGATGACTGACACTACCTGCCAGGTAGAGATTCTGTTAGGTCACCAGGCAGCCCTTCACAGCTGCACCTTGTCCACAAAAGTAGGGCACAGATTTGTTGGGAGGAGGAACCTCCCAGCAGTGCTGACAACCAAGCACAAGTCACTCTTCAGAGCACCCAGAACCAAAAGTTGGAAGAGGCCTTAGAAAGCATCTCATGCTAGCCTAGAACTTGAGCAGCTGATGGCTCAGCGGACAGAACACTGGCCCGGAGTCATTAAGACCAGAGTTCAAATCCAGCCTCAAACACCACCTAGCTTCGTGACCTTGAACAAATCACTAGCCTGACTGCCTGACAAAAACGAATCCATTGGGAAAGGAAACGGCAAACCATTCCAGTGCCTTTGCCAAGAAATCCCCAAATACTGACACAACTGAACAAAAGAATTTAATACTAATGTTTCTCAACTGGTAACACTCCAAAGCAAGTTCACAAATCCAAAAGAACCTGCCACCACAGAAAGGAAGGTAGGGAGTAATTCAGAACTAGGCTCCTGTCTAGCTGGCCTGAGGAGGCCTTTAAAAGGTCCTCAGAGGAATGGGCTGAGTGCACAGACCATTAACACAGGCCCATCAGATGAAGCCTCCTCCTCCTCCCTTTCCTCTGGAAACCCATGAGCTGTGTTGCCAACCATGGCCACCTTTGGTTAAATGTCCCTAGCTCCTTCAACTACTGCTCTTTGGCCACAAAACAAGACTCGTAGCTTAGGGCAAGGCAGGGGGGCTAAAGAAAAGCTGGGGGGTGGGGATAGGGAAATGCCTGCTGGCAAGAACAGACTGGAGGGTCAAACCCCATGTGTTTCCTCCATCCCCATGGCTTTCCTTCTTCCAAACTACTTCCATGAAGACCTTCTGTCCTCTTTCTGCCTTTGGACAAGTATAGCCCAAGGTCTCAGGAGTCAGAAGCACCAGAACCTCAAGGAGCCACCCCGCAACAACCCCAGCTGGGATCACTTCCCAGGTGCCCAGGCCCGCCTGTGCTTCATTCTGGAACCCTCTGACAGGTCCCCCGGCCCCTCCTTGGGTCTCTATAAGATGAGATGCCTCCAAAGTACCCCCCAAGTTTTCCTTGGTAATCCTTAAAAATCCTTTCCCCTCGGGGCAGCTAGATGGCAGTGGATAGAGCTCCAGCCTTGGAGTCAAGGGAGGGACCTGAGTTCAAATTTGACTTCACACACTTGACACTAGCTGTGTGACCCTGGGGCAAGTCACTTAACCCCTACCTACTGCCTCACCAAAAAGCAAAAAAAATTTAAAAAGAAAAAAGAAAAAAAAGTCCTTTCCCCCTCTATCTGCGGAGGGATATACAGAAGTCAAGTCAGAAAATTTTACAGAAACAAGATAAGCAAAAAGGCGGAGTCAGTGACATGTGCCACGAAGGTCAGAAGCAGCACTTGGGTCTGTCATCCAACCTGCCTTCACTCTCCCCAGGCTAGGATCACAACCATGAAAACTCGAAGAAGCCAAGCTCTTCTCCACCTGGGGTCCCCGCTCACTGAAGCTGTTACAGGGTGGGAGGGACAGCCTTCCCCCTCACCCTCCACCATAAGGGGGGTGGGAGGAAAGGCAGTGCCCTAAGACTCTGGGAAGAAAGCCTCTCCTCTCTCCTATTTGTCATGGCTAAGTGAGAATGCACAGGAAGAAGTCATGGAGAGGTTTCAATTACATTAACTTTTGCTCAAAATTGTACTCACTTCAGTGGAGACCACTACTAACCATTCTCCCCAGCCCCCATCAGCCCAGAAAGGTTTGCTACCTGGCTGTTAAGCTGGACTCCCAAATCTCCCAACTTCACATGTACAGTTAAGCTGCCAAGGCTCATTTCTACCTCCGGACAGCCCAGCGCCCAGCAAGGTAGGCAAGGCACTGGAGGTCATCCGTCCCCTCAGGCCTGGACTAGAATCAGTCTTTCAAAGCCCTTGTCTGACCACATCACTACTCCCTAAGTGGTTGGGAAGCTTCCAACCAAGGGTCCTGAGCTGTCCCAACTCAAGGGTCAGACACCTCATTCCCTTTTCAGTCTGTTTTTGTCAGTTTGATACCACACACACACAATTCTACCTACAGCAGCATATGCATTTACCTAATAACAAGGGAGACAGCAGAGTAGTACCCCATATGCCCGAGCCTCATTGTAGAATGAGAACGGATACCAAAGGATGACAACATCCGCTGGGCTCACTCTACTTCTCAAAGCGGGCATTACTCCTTATGTTCTGTGCTTAAAAAAATAAAACAAAACAACACCCAGCCTTGTCCCCTCCCTTTAAGGCGGCACCCGCCCCTCTTCCAGGCAGCGGCTGCCTTCCCCTGCTCCATCTGTCTGCCTGGGCTTCTCCCTGCTCCTTCACCTCTCTCTAAGACTTACCTTCACCATGCTTGTCTGTGAACTGGAAGGCCTGGACAAGCCGCAGAGTTTCATCTACAGAGCGGCCCACGGGTAGATCATTGATGGTGATCTGGCGAAGGACCCCCTTGTCATCAATGATAAAGAGACCCCTAACAAGGAAGAAAAGACACGGAGCTAGGACTGATCCTTCACTTCAGGGTGTGGCGCCACAGAAGCCAGCTGGCAGCAGGAAGACTGGCCTCATACCCCTGAACGTAGAGAAACAGGCCCCAAGTACCATGCTGACCTCTCCTTTCTAGGCTCCAGCATCCAGGGGCCTAAGAATTACAAGGCTGAACTAGAGGAGGAAATACCCAACCACAACGTAAGAGTGATGCTCACCTGAATGAAATTCCCTCGTCTGCCTTTAACACCCCATAATCTTGAGCAATGGTTCGTTTGGGGTCAGACATCAATGGAATATTCACGGCTCCCAGGCCACCATTCTTCTTGACCGTGTTGACCCTGGAGAAAAATAAGAAACAAGAAACACAATGCAACTCAACTGGTGTGGCAAGTTTTCATTCAGGCAGCTGACCTCCTGAAGGAAGAGAAAAGAACTCTACCCAACTGCCCCAAGGGCACTTATAAATCTAATGGGCAAAAGCACCAGTCCATGCATCCCCTTCTCTCAGCACAGCCCAGACCGGCCCGGCCCGCTCTCAGACACTCTCATCCAGAGTCAGTTCATATCCTCCCTTCTCTAGGGAAATTCTCCCAGTCTCCCTTTCCAATGAAATCACTTCTCATACATGTGTCTAGAGCCTGCTTGAGGCAGTCCATCCTCTGCGTTCCGTCTCCTCCATTAGACTCTGAACCTCCAGATGGCTTTTGCCTGCCTTTCCTGGTATTTTCAGTGCTTGGCAAACAGAAGGCACTGAACACATGTTTTCCCATGGATAGACAAATTTGGGGAACCTGTGAAGTTTCTGCCCACTGGTCTCGTGCACCTCCAACTCAATCTGGGTCCTCAATTAATGAGGAAATAAGGTCAGTGCTCAGGAAAGCCTGGCCCTCCTCCCACTGCTCCCAAGGCCCAGGAGCACGAACCAAAGCCAGGCTGGCCACTTGGGGACAGTTACCAGGCAAGGTGACAGAAGTGTGAATCCACAGAAGCACCAATTACTTGGCAGTTGAGTTTCTTAAATTCTTCAGCTCGATCACTGAATGCAATAATCTCCGTGGGGCACACAAAGGTGAAGTCCAAGGGGTAGAAGAACAACACAACGTACTTCCCTGAATGGGAAAGGAGACTGGTGAGCTCAGGTCACCTGGTTTGGACCCAATGACCTGGACACCCTAAACTGGCAGTTACATCACACACCCCCACCAAAGGGCCCAAAAGGCCAGCCCCAAGTGGCCTTTCCCAAGGAATTCTCCTCAGGAGGAAACCAAGGCATTCTCCCACCCAAGAGCAATGCTGTGCAGTGCACAGACAAATTACAGGTCCTAAGCTGGCCAAGGATAGAGCACCAGGCTGTTTGTCCCCTATCCCAGCCTCAGTGCATCCCACTTTGTGAAAGCACTGCTCCCTCTGCCTTCTCCCCCAACACCTGTCTGGGCTCATTCCCTGCCAAGGTGTTCCACCCGCTGTGCCAGCATCAGGAGCTGCAGCCACCCCAGGGAAGGACAGCTAAACCCTGTTAACTAGGCAGATACAAGTAGGATCTTCTTCCTTTGTAGAAGGAACTGAGGCTCAGGGGAACACAGCCAAGGTGCTGGGGAAGCAGGGATTACTAAAGCTGAAACCTGGACACTGGGCCAGCCTTTCAGTATCCCCCCAGGATCTCTTCCACAGATTCCCTCCACTTCCAGTCTAAGGGACTTGATTCCAATTCTCAGAGACCGGGACTGGGAAAGGAGGCAGCGCCAACCACCTGACTGTGCTGACATAACTGGCCTGGTTAGAAAAAGGAAGGTTGGACCAGGCTTCAGTCCGGGACCAGTGAGACACATCATGGTGCTTGCTGTCACTCCTTCTCAAGTGTATAACACCTGCTTACAGGTTGCTTTCAAACTAGCCAGTGGCCCTGCGACCAAGCTTGGCTCTACCCCAGGGGAGTTATGCTGGAAGAACAAGGCCAAGGGCTCAAGGCTGCTCTGTAAGCCAGAAGTTAGGCCAGGCGAGCAACTGGTGTCCCCTCTGAAAGCCAACCTCAATAGGAACATTGTTTATCCCAACAAAACAGGCCGGCCTGTTCCTCAGTGCCTGGAGGAGGGCAGCATCATGGACAGCTGGCATTCTCATGGGAGCTTCCCTCTGGCCCTGGGGGCAGGGAGGTATGTGTACATATGCATGCAAGAGCATGAGAGCCACCCCTCCCTCTGCCAACCAGCCGTGGTCCACAGGGCCCAGAACTAACCCTGCCGGGGTCTCTCTGCTCATCAGCTTCTACAGAGGTTAGCTCTGAACAAAGGCAGCTGCAAAGGACTGGGACCCAGGAAACCCAGCAGGCCTGAGTGACCAGGCCTTTTGCCTTTGCCATTCTGGGACCCAACTGCACCCCTACATCAGCCCCTGGGGGGAGGGGCTGTGAAGAGAGCTCAGTCAAGGCACAAACTTCAGGAACACACCTTGCAAAGCAAATGAGTCCCTAGAGGAAAGGCTGGCCAAAGTCTCTGAGTATCAGTCATTTCTGATATCAGAACTGGAGGCACACAGAGAGGGAAGGGGAAGGGCCACAGTATTATCCTCTCCTGGAATAAGCATAGATCAAAAGAAGTTGGGGGGAACTTCACCACCCAGCCCCAAATGGGAAATAAAAACAGCTCCACAGAAATCGCACAAAGCAGCCTTTGTTACTGAGATTTGGTTAATCATAAAATGTAAATCAGGTTCAGGCAATTCAACTCACCTTTGTAGTCGGAAAGGCTGAGGTCTTTGAACTGCCGATCTGGCATAACAGCTGTAGCTCTGAAATCGGGGGCTGGGAACCCAATCTTGGCATTTCCCGCAGCCATGCTGACAGTAACTGGGGGCCAAGAGAGAAGCTGAATGAGGCTGGAAAACTAGCAGTCTGCCCAGAGAGGTGATTTCAGCTTCCCTCTCCAAGTGGGCTGCTACACCCCATTCCTTAGATAGCCTGAGGCTGCTCACTTTTAGGGAGCAGTGAGGGGCTCACCTAACACCAAGTGGACAAGCTAGCAGGGACCCAGGCCTGACCATCTAACTGCCCCAAGAGCCCTCTGCCCCCTAGTCACATACAGCATGGCTGCCTAGTCATTTAAAATGACTGATTCCCTTAAGGCAATAGCTTTGGCTGCCATCCAAACCAAGAAAGCAATCAGGCAGTCCCCTCCAGTCAGAGGGCTGAGCAGTTCAACAGCCAGATTAGGCAGCAGGGTTTTGTGCCGTCTAGACCGGAATTCTCATGAGGAAGGGCTGCTACACTACGGCCCTCTCCTAAACCAGCCAGTCCCCAGGAAAAAGAGAAGAGAGCCGAGTGGTTTTACCCTCGTGCCTAGGTTGGAAATTCTGGTCAGAACTAAGCAGAGATAAGGAGTTAAGCAGAACTGATTTCCACTCTGAGAAACTGAGCACTCCACACTCAGGCAGAAGCTGCCGTTTCCAAGCCAAGGGGCACCGGAAACCCTCACCTACCCTCTCCTTCCTCACTGGCCTCCTGCATCCTCTTCTACCCAGTGTGTCCTGCAGAGCTGCCCTATCAGCCCACCAGCCTCACCCCAGGGCTCGCTCAGTCTCATCCACCACAAGAGAGGACGAGGTGTTTCTACAGCACCTACTATGTGCCAAGCACTCTGCAAATGCTTTACAACTATTTATCTCATCAGTTCCTCACAACCTCCAGGGGAGATCGGTGCTGGTGTTTCATCATCCCCATTCTACAGTTGAGGAAACTGAGGCAAACAGTGGCCAAGCGATTTATCCAGGGTCGCAGCTAGGGTCGGAGGCCAGGGGCATTCCAGACTCCTGGCTCAGCGTTCTCACCACTGAACCACACTAGCTGCCTGAAAGTAGAAAGTGACAAGGGGGCATCCCCTTCCGATCGAGGTTCACTTCTTCCCCTTCCGAAACTACTTCACATAAAAGCCCAGGCTCCATGCTCCAAAACCGCCCCCCAGCACCATCTCCCTGGATGGACTCCACTTACACGGGCTTCCTAAGCAGGGGTGCGGCGCGCCCACTCCTGACAACCACACCTCCCGCCCGTGGTTCGGGTCCACAGCCTGCCTCCCATCATCTAACGACCGTAGGCCAGTCCTGCCCACTTTTACAGAGGCGAAAACTGAGGCCAGAGGCGACAGGAGGCCCTCGAAGGCTTACACATAAGCCCGAGGGCACACCCCGCCTGCCTGGGAGCGAACACAAGATGGGGGGACCCCCTGCCGCAGGCACCGCTCCACACCCAGGGGAGCCCCCTCCTCCACAGCATCGGGGAGAATGACAGGGAGAGGGCAGGAAAAGTAAAGAATCGCCTTCATCCGCCCCGCCCCTCCCCTCCCCTCCAAGGCACTTCGCTTCCCCTCCCAGCCTCGGTTTCCTCGGCTGTCAAAGAAGTTGTTCGGGGGCAAGGAGCCCCCGCTTCACTTTGCTCGTTTGTCCCCCGCCTGAACCATGCCTGGGGTGCCCCGGCTTCGATTCCACCAACCCGACACTGGCCCGAGAATCTCAAAGCCCGCCCTGCCCACCCGAAGGTTCCCGAACACACCCCCACCCCGGCTGGGGCACGTGACCCTCCTCAGCAAATCAGCTGCCCTCGGTGGGGCGGGGGTCGTCCGCCGCCTTCCCGGGGCCATCCCGAGATTCCCTGCCCGCCCCCAGCGGCCCAGAGAAGGGCAGCACGGCGCCGGAGGGTGCAGGCCCCGGCTCCACCCGCTCCCCGGCCTCACCAGCTAGGCTCCGCAGACAAGTTCAGAGAAAACACGAACACGTGAAGAGGAACTAGAGAAGGCGAGGGAGGTTTGCCCGGCACCACCTTTATAAGCTTCTGATCTCGCGAGAGGCTGAGGGCGGGTGGAGGCGGGCCGGTCTGCCTGAAGCCACGCCCCCTCCTCCCTCCCTCCCTCCCGCCCCGCAACCACGCGCTCAGCATGACTCTGCACTTTCCCATAGTTAGGGGACAGAGTGCCCCTCCCCCCACGAACCTCCCGCTCTCCCTACCATAACCTTTTGATGTCGAGGTCTCTCAGACCGGCAAACTCCCTTACCCCGCCTAAGATCTCCTCCCTCCCTCCCTGCGGCCCGGTGTTCCTGGACGCACCAGTCCTTTAGGCAGGGTGTCAGTGCAACTTGGGAGCTCCCTGGGCCAACGCAACCCAAGCCCAGTTGGACTCCTAAAAAGAATATTTAACAGTAATAACTAACAGTTTAATAACGTTGCAGCTATTATCTCATCTAAGGGCCCGCAACCACAGATGCCACTCAGAGCTGGCGCTCACCCATGGTTCTCATTGGTCAGCCCCTCAGCATTTATTAAGCACCTACTGCATCCCAGGCCCCGTGCTAAGCCCAACATTTCTCAATCTAGGCCCATCAGACAGGCGGCTAATGCCCTGCTGGCTGGGAGGGAGGGATGGCTGACACGCACTGGGTCAGGATGGGAAAACACAAGCTAGCAGCGGCTGAGCTGAATCGAAGGGGAAATTCAGTAAGGATAAGTAAACAGCAAGTGTAACATTTGAGCTCAAAAATAGACTTCCATGAGGGAACGAGCCAGGTCAGACTGAGTCAGCACGATGGCTGGAATTAAGAAAGGCCCAGCTTTCAGGAACAGGGAGCCGAGTGAGAGTTCTGCAAAGTCTGCAGCATGGGGAGAGACTGGAGTGAGTGAATTTGTCCCCAGTGGATTAATCGTCTACTGTGGGCCTGGCACACCACCTGGGTACAAAGAAAAAAAGGAAACTAGGCCCTGCCCTCAGGGAGTTTCCATTCTGCTGCTTGGTGGGGGAAGGGAAGATGGGGGGGGCGGGGAGGGCTGTTATGTAGAACAAAGATCAGCCTGGCAGATCGTGGCCCCTGAAGGCAAGCCCAGGGACAGTTGAGGGGGCAGGGAAATCTTCAAACAGGCCAACTCAGTTCAGGCTCAGTGTTAGGAAACCCTTGCTTACTCCTGGGGCTGGCCAGGAGTGGAAGGGACTGTTTTGGAAAGGTAGTGAGCTCTCCATCCCTGGAGGTCTCCAATCAGAGGCAGGGTGACTCCTCTCAGAGGATGTTGTAGAGGGAATTCCTGTTCAGGTGCAGGTTAGGCTCCATTCTGTGGGAATGTTACATGATAAGCAGGATGAATGCATGGGAAAGGGTGCCAAGGGAGGGCTCAGTGTCATTGGGTCACTTGGGCCTTGGGGAAATGTAGAGAGCAGCCCAGAGTGGGTGGAGTTAGCCATGGGAGAAGGGCCTGGGGATGGGAGTGGCAGGTGGAGAAGGGAGGCTGGCTTTCCCACTGGTGGGAGGCTCCAATAGGGTTGGTGACACCTGACACCTGAGCTGGGCCGAGAGAGCCTGGAGCTGGATCAGTCCCCACCCCCACTGTCCCACGCACATGGCTTCTCCTCCCCTACTTGGCCTTTGTACTCCCTGGGGCGGCTGTTTCTCTGTGCTAGGCACAAATAGTCTGGGAGCTCTTTAAATACTGTTGATCGATTGGGTGACCGTGAACCTAAGCTAGGGTGATGTCACTGAAGGTGATCCAAGAACCTGGGAGGTCCCCAGAGGCAGGGAGAACGGTGAGAAAGCTATTTCAGGGGTGTAGGCTGGAGTGAGAGGTCTGCTCTAGGCTGGTGGTGCAGGAAGATCTCTCGGGAATAGCCTACTCCAGCTTTCTCCTTTTACACCAGAGTGTAACACAGGCAGGATTGTGAGAAGTGAGGCTTGAACCCGGGGCAGCCTGACGCTATCCCGATCATGGTTTCTGAGGAGTAGGTGCCATGCTTCCTGTCCCCTTCTTCACGGTGGCCTCTCCATGAAACCAAAGAGAGCGAGAATGATGCTGGCCAGGGAGAAAGGGGAATGTGAGGCCTCCAGAGCAACCTGGACTCGGGCTGAGATTTCTAGGGCCCTTTGTGGTTACAAAGGTCCCCCACACTTGTGATTTCCTTTCACTTCCCCACCCCCATAACCTGTTGGAAGGTAGCTAGGGCCTCATTAGCTCCATTTTATAGCCAGAGGGGTTCAAGGCTCAAGATCCCGGAGCCAGAATTCTCACCATTATCTTTCTGGAAGATCTGGCCCTTGGTGAAACTTTTCTGACTAGAAGAAAGCAGGAAGTAAAAAGGGAACTGATTCACCCACCCAGTGCAACCTCCCAGGGAATAGTCCAGAATATGTTTCAGGGATTTTAAAATAAGGGGAGGGTGGGAATTTCTAGGTCTGTTGGAAATTTCTCCTCTAAGCAAGTGAGTGCAGGGTCTCTGTACCCTGAGATCTTTAAGTAGGAGACAGACTGTGTGATTCTAGAGGTCTGGAAGGAGAAGCTGCTGTCAGATGGCTTCTGTGGATGCCCAAGCCCCTCTCCTGTCTTCTCTGTCTGTCTGTCTGTCAGTCTGTCTGACAAATGCCTATTTCTGCCTCTGTTGATCTTCACTTGAACGCTTTTCCACGATGCTTCCCTACTGGCTTCTGTGGATGCCCAAACCCTTCTCCTGTCTTCTCTGTCTGTCTGTCTGACAAATGAAGGTGGCTGAAAACACCATGCTAAAAAGCATGGGAGCAAGCACCCAGCCTTGTTTCACTCCATTGATGACTGGGAAAACTCAAAAGCATCATTGCCCATTATCCAGAACCCGGGCAAGTTTATGCCATCGTAAAATTGGCCTACAATACTAATCAACTTCTCTGGGCCACCAAATTTCGATGTAGTTTTCCATAAGCCCTAACGACTGACAGTGTCAAAGGCCTTGGTCAGATCTACAAATGCTGTGTTCAGACCGCTGTTCTGCTCCTGGCATTTCTCCTGGAGCTGTCCAGCAGCAAACACCATATCAACTGTTCCCTTGGCTGTTTCTGAAGCCACACTGGCTTCCAGGTGAAGGATCAGCCTATTAAGGAGGACTGTGCTAAGAATCTTGCCAGCAATGACTAAGTAAGAGATTGTCCCTGTGATTGTCACAGGACAATCTAACTCCTTTACCTTTATAGAGAAGGACAAAAAGTTCTCATGGACAACACACACAGGACGAGCGCTCACATGGTGGTCAGAAAAAGTGATACAAGGCCACGCTCAAGGCCTCTCTTGAGAACTTTGTAATTGATAGTGAGACATGGGAGACGCTGGCACAGGAACTCAGTCTGCAGGTGTTGATTTATGCAGCTGTGTGAACTAGGCGGGGCAGTCTGTAGTGGTGAGCCACCTGGTTCTGTGTTTAGCCCTGCCTTCTACAAGATGGCAATCACTGACTTAGATGAAGACATAGAAGGCAGGCCTGTCAAGTGTTCAGAACATTCAAAGCTGGGAAGGCTTTGTTAGCTCACATCATCAGGAATTCAGAGTCATCCTGACAGGACAGAACCAAGGAGATGACTCAGTTGCTTCATGGTGGGAGAGGAAGTAGAGTTGTAGGGGCATGGGTAGGGGAAGTGGGACGTCCAAGGGGGGGGCTCAAGCCCGCAAACAGGGAATTAGCCAAGAGTCAAATTTCAGCTGAGTAGTGTGGAAGAAGTCCAGTGCAAGCAGGAAGATGGAAATTGTGGGCCAAATGACAGGGCATGCTTGAATGAATGAATGAATCGTGGATGACTGGCTGCTTTAGGGGAGACTTCTACATAGAATGGAGGTTAGATCTAGCCTCTGAAATGCTCTGATTCCTGTAAGTGGCTGAAGACTGAAGAGGCTACTTTTTGGGACCAGACATCTTCCCCCATAGACTATCTTCTCTAACTTCCACCCAAAAGTGCCTGGGACTCTGTGTTGCCTGAAAGCTGTTAATTAGAGAGTCTCTGGGATGGCTTAGAATCTTCTCTAGTTTTCTTAAGAAGCGTAAACTGGAATTCTCAGCTTTTCTGCACTTTAGTACTAACTGGTTCCATCCTCTGCCTTGAGCTTAGCTTACTCCTTGACCTTTGCCTTTATGTCTTTGTGTTGGAGTGTGTGAGGATAAGACTCCTGGAGTTTGGGATCCTTGGGAAGGTGGGTCATGGGTCAAGGTTGTGTAACAGTAAGTGGGGGGGGGTTTAGATTTCTGGCTATTTTCCCCCAGAGTCCCCACTATCAACAATGCCCCAGAATTAAGGCTCAATCACTCATCAGAGGGGCCAAGGAGGTAAGAGGGTGGCAAACTATGTGTTTAGGTGAGTACTGTAGATGGTTTTAATTGGAGATGTGCCAATGGAAATACTTCTGGAGAGGAGAAGGAGGAAAGGATGGGAAGGGTGGAGAGAGAGACAGACAGACAGACTCAGAGAGACCAAGAGAGAGAAAGAGAGGAGAGACTCTCAGAGACAGGAAGAACAGTGGCCTGGCAACTGGTATCAGTCACAGCCATTCTATTTTCTAAAACAAAAGAAAATTTTTAAGAGGTGAAAAGTTCTGCCTGCCCAGGGTGCTCTGTAACTGGTAAGCTGGGAAGCAGCTGAGGGCTTCAGAGAGTGCTGTGGCCTTCCTTCCAGGGGGAAGGGTTGGATAAGAGGCAGCTGGGATTCCCACTCTGGGCCTGAAGCTCCCCCAGCCCCAACACTGTCAGAGTCTGTGCCTCTGAGGTACGAATATAGGACAAGCTCAGAGAGGAAGGAAAGACAAAGATGTGGATGTTCTCCCCTCATTTAGAAAGTTGAGGGGCAGCTAGGTGGCACAGTGGATAGAGTACTGGCCCTGGATTCAGGAGGATCTGAGTTCAAATCTGGCCTTAGACACATAACACTAACTAGCTGTGTGACCTTGGGCAAGTCACTTAACCCCATTGCCTAACCAAAAAACAAAAAAAGTCGCAGCAAGAGCCACCCCAAACTCTAGGCTGCATTAGAGCCTCATCAAACCCCATCATGGACTGTTCCCATCACAGACTAA